TAAAGGTTACCATATTAATGACCTTTATGTTTTGGATGACGAACCGTCTAGATACAGGTCGATCTATAACGTTTGTACCAAACGGTTTAAGCCGAACGACTTAAACTCGACCTTCCTCTAGCATTTTCGTCTAAGCCATATAAATGAGAAACGCATTCAGAAGCTTCATCATGAAGGTCTTCTGGATTCATTTGACTTTGAGTCTCTTGAATCTTGCGAGTCTTGTTTGATGGGCAAGATGACGAAGCATCCTTTCAAGGGAAAGGAACAGAGAGTGACGGAGTTATTGGCTCTCATACATAGTGATATATGCGGACCAATGAGCTATCCAGTTAGGAGGTTATCTGTATTTCGTTACGTTCACTGATGATTTCAGTCGATACGGTTATGTCTATTTGATGAGACATAAGTCTGAAACACTTGAAATGTTCAAGGCTTTCAGAAACGAAGTACAAACCCAGCTGGGAAAGACGATCAAGATACTTTGATCAGATCGTGGTGGCGAGTATATGAGCCAAGAGTTCTCTGACTATCTGGTTGATTGTGGTATTGTATCACAATTAACTCCTCCTGTAACACTACAGTGGAATGGCGTATCTGAACGGAGGAATCGAACGTTGTTAGACATGGTTCGGTCGATGATGAGTCAGACAAATCTTCCGAAGTCTTTTTGGGGCTACGCTTTAGAGACCGCTGCATACCTCTGAACATGAGTCCAACGAAGTTGGCTGAAACGATGTCCTATGAGATATGGACGGGGAAGCGTCCCCCGTTGTCGTTTGTCAGAATTTGGGGTTGTGACGCTTACGTGAAGCGTCAGATGACTGATAAGTTATCCTCCAAGTCTGATTAGTATTTATTTGTAGGCTACCCTAAGGAAACTAAGGGTTACTACTTCTACATTCCGGCAGAGAACAAGGTGTTCATTGCCAGGAGTGTGACTTTTATGGAGCGAGAGTTCGTCTCCAAAAGAGTCAGTGGGAGTAGGATCGAACTTGAGGGAGTTCGAGAGCAACAAGTAGACACTGAGTCGGTGAACAAGTTGAAGATGTTCAACCTGTTTCACTGCCAGTTATGACTCAACCTTCGATTAGTGAACCTCGGAGATCAGGCAGAATTCGCCAAGAGCCTGTGAGATATGGATTTCTTGTGACTGGGAATGAGGAACTCATGTTATTAGAACATGATGAGCCTTCTACATACCTAGAGGCCATGACGAGTCCGGATTCCGAGAAATGGCGCGAGGCTATGAAGTCCGAGACGCAATCCATGTCAGACAACCAAGTATGGACTCTAGTTGATGCATCTGAAAGGATAAAACCCATCGGATGCAAATGGATCTTCAAGAAGAAGGCCGACATGGATGGCAACGTACACACGTATAAGTCACGACTTGTGACGAAAGGATTCCGTCAGATTCATGGTATTGACTATGATGAGACGGTTTCGCCCATAGTTATGTTGAAGTCCATCAGGATCCTACTTGCCATATCCACATATTACGACTATGAGATATGGCAAATAGATGTCAAGATCCTGTTCCTTAAAGGGAACTTGACCGAGGATGTGTACATGACACAACCCGAAGGTTTTGTCGATCCAAGGAACTCGGGGAAGGTGTGCAAGCTTCAGAGGTCCATTTATTGACTGAAGAGGCTTCGAGGAGCTGGAACCTTCGCTTTGATGAGACAATCAAAAGGTTTGGTTTCTCACAGAACGAAGACGAGCCATGTGTTTACAAGAAGGTCAGTGGGAGCACAGTTGTATTCCTAGTGTTGTACGTGGATGACATTCTCCTAATAGGGAATGACGTTCCTACCTTGCAAGACGTAAAGTCTTAGCTAGGAACGCAGTTTTCTATGAATGACGTTCCTACCTTGCATGACGTTCCTACCTTGCAAGACGTAAAGTCTTAGCTTGCAAAACGTGGATGATTCGTAGACTGGCTATGTTTTCTGCTTGAACGGAGGCGCTGTTAGCTGGAAGAGTTCCAAGTAAGCGAACGTTGCAGATTCTACTATAGAAGCTGAGTATATTGCAGCGTCGGACGCAACAAAGGAAGCTGTTTGGATCAGGAAGTTTGTTGGCGACTTGGGTGTCATTCCTAGTGTTGATAGCCTCATTGCACTGTATTGTGACAACAATGGAGCGATCGCACAAGCGAAAGAACCCAGATCCCATCAACGATCCAAACACATACTCAGACGGTTTCACCTAATCAGGGAGATCATAGACAGAGAAGACGTGCACATTTGCAGAGTGTCGACTGATAACAACATTGTTGATCCGTTGATGAAGCCTCTCCCTTCATCGAAGCATGAGAGTCATGTTAGGGATATGTGCATTAGATGTTTAGCAGTCCATGACTAGAGCCTATGATGTACTGTTTTGCGAGCTTTATTTAGATACATTTGATCTATGGTTTATGGATGAGTGTTTTATTCATTACATGTTTTGCATACTTAATATGTCATGAAATCCATGTATTGTTATGAACAATACTAAACTCCCTAGTCATATGTCATTATGGGAATAATGACATACTAAGATATGATGTGTGATTGATGATCATATAGATGATCATAGGTATTGGATACGACCACAATTATAGGTATTCGTTGGAGAACGGAATACTAGATCGACCCGCATGAGATTGTCACATGGACTAAGCGTCATGACTTGAATCTCATATGACGGTTTCATGATTGGATCCTAAGACTTGAGATATCTACGGAATCCAACATGAGGAGTTGGTGCTTTGAATACGTCAAACGTCCTGCGTAACAGGAGGACCATAAAGGCGTGTATCAGGTACGAAACGAATCATGAGCTGGATTGTAGATAGTCAAGATGGGATTTGTACCTCTCGTAAAAGAGAGAGATATCGTTGGGTCCCTCGTGTGAGCGAGACTGTAGAAATGTGTGGCTGCACTATAGATGAATGTCTTCTATCTTGTACAGTCGAACTCAGTGAACGAGAAAACAGTCGAATCAGATAAGGTGGTTTGTCCATGCCTTATGTTCGACATATGATATCGTGATACAAAAGGATCATCGACCGGAATCATCACAGACGTTCGAAAGATCACAAACAAACTCTATTCGAGATAGGTAGTCATAGTGTCTTGCTAGAGACCGTCTATGACTTGTATATCCGAAATAGAGTTTTCGGGTTATACTGCTATATCGAATGAGTCTACAGGGTCACACACGCAGGGAAGGACAAACGCATGAGAAAACGAAGAAAAACCGAGACAGAAGGGCCAGACCCGACGGACCAGAAGGGTTAGACCCGACAGATCCGCCAAGTCTAGGCCCGACGGTCCAGAACGTGGTCTGTCCGTTCCAGAAGGTCTAGGACGGACGGTCCACCGAAGGCAGACCGTCTGTTCTGGCTTCTAGAACAGACGGTCCACGTGCATTCTTAGACCGTCCGTTCCGGCTTTCGGATTTTTCAAAAATTAAACCAAAATTAGGGTTAAATCACTTTATAAGAAGGAGATTAAAACCCTAATTAGGAGAGCCGGCTTTCAGAACTTCGACAGAGCTTTTGTGAGATCCAAGAGGTTCTAAGAGGTGATCTAAGTATCGTTTTCTCGAAGTGATATACTGAATAGTTGATTCGGGTCCTAACAGACAAGTTCCAATCGTTGGAATCCATCCCGAGGTGTGGATATGTGTAGAGGGCGAGGTAATCTTCCTCCTTTTTGTGGTCGGACGAACACATCAATTGATACAGGCCCTGGATCAATTGAGGTAAGCGTTTAACGTGTCTACGTAATCATACATGCATGGTTCTAGGGTTACATATAAATTTTTGTTTTACGTCCGCTGCGCAAACCCTAGAATCGATCTCTTTAGGAATAGGATTCGCTTTAGAGATCTCAGGAATCCCAACAGTACGATCGTGCACAAGTGGAGAAACAAAGATATTTTGCTCAGATAATTGGCTCGGACCGCGTCTTTATACGACACGACCGTGTTACTTCAAACTCGCCCGTGTCCAGCCCGTGTTCGAAGTGCAGAAATCTGATTAGACAATTGATTCGGTTCGTGTCGCTACTCAACACAGCCGTGTCACTGGCAGAAAAATTTTCTGTTTTGCGTTTGAATTGCCATTTTCGAAAGAGAAAAAAGCATAGCCACCAAAGAAATAAATAGAGGACATCTTGGGCTTCAAAAATCATCGAGAGATCACGGTAGAAGCCAGAGAACTCGAGAGAGAATCAATACGGAGTTTTTCGAGCCCAGAGATAAAAGAACCGTCGTCGAGAGATCGCTGCGAGTTTCTTTTTTACCTGTTTCTATGTTTCTTCTTATTTATTTAAATTTGAGTCTTTTTATGGGGATTAGACTCAATGTTCTTATTGATAACAAATTCATTACATTTATGAGGTCAAAACCTACGTGGAACAATCAGTGCTTCCCCTAATATCCTCCATTTGCCATAACATGTCTTCTACATTTAAATAGGTTTGAGGTTGAATCATATTAATTTTTTTTACTTTATTGGTAAGCAAAGCAGATGCGCGCCTAATCAAAATTTGATCTCAATCACTCTTTTTTTGTCGCAGTTGCTTACTTTCTTCACCTTTGAGTGGAAGAGTACTACAGTCTTGTTCCGACCCGCACGAAAGGCGTAATGATCCAGACACTATCTCGGAGAGAGGTGAAATAGATATGTCTCTGTCTCTCCACATTTCAGTTTGTGTTCAGCTTTTGAACAAAAAGAAATCCGGGTAAGACCAACAGAAAATCTAGTTAAATTTTTCGGGTATACAAATTCTGTTATGAGTTTTCTGGCAATGGTGATGAAACTGAGGACACAATATTTGAAAAGAAGTGTTTGAATCAAGTTCATAAGAGTAACATTAGGAACATCTCGTGAAACTAATGGTAATACCATTTGGGTTTGTAGATGAAAACTCTTTGTATTCATCAATCTCTTTCTTGGAGCAAAGCTGCCAATCTATGGGGGTAGTAATCCCCATTTGCTCCAATTAACCGTGAATTTGGATAAGTCAATTAAAATAACTTTTTCTTCCAATAAGTAAGGTAGCAGTTTCTGTCTAAAACAACATGAAACAACACATCCAACAGCTACAGCTACAGAACCTAAACCTTCGCTTTGAGTAAAAACCATTTTCAAGCCCCCCGAAAGAGAAGGAAAAAAAAAACATTTTTTTTCCCTCTTTTCCTGAGGAAGGCTCTACGGTATATCTACACCACCGAAGAAGGGTTCTCCAAGAAAGGCTTTAGTCTCCAAACAGTTTGAAACATTTCTAACATGGTCTAATCATCCTCTGGCTTAAACTAGCTAGCTCTTCTTCACTTTGCTGATATATGCCTGATAGTTTTAAGACAATACACAGCAAGACTGGTTAACAATCTCAAACCTGAAAAAGAAAAACCCAACAGAGTTCAAGGTTACGTAATAACACTAACCTGTACGAGCTTCGTGAGTTTCGGTTTTGAAGCGGATAGATAATGCTCGATCTTCTCCTGTGTCTGAGGAACGTTTCCATTCTGCATTGTCCCGGTCACTTTGTCAACTACCTTCTTCACTATGTTCTTGTATGCGTCTTTGCTCATCCGACCTTCTCTCCAAAAGGGTTTTAGAATCTCCTTAACCGTCTCCACGAGAGCAAATTTAAATGCCCGTATTCCTTTTGGGTCTTTTCCTTTCTTGTTTCCATCTGCCTTGTCATCTTCCTCTGCATTCTCAGCATCCTCACTCTCTTCATAGGTCTTTTTTCCATCTTCTTCTTTGCTCGATTCCTCGGTCTTTTTGTCCTTTTTCTCCTCAGTAACCTTGGGGTTTTCATCTTGTTTGTGGCTCGTATCAACAGGTTCTGTCTCTGAACCTATCCCGAGGAAAGCTGATGGAACTGAGCTATCGTGTTGTTGTGCATCAGTATTGATTGTTTGGGGTGTAGTAACAGCCTGGACAGCCCCTGCACCAGTGTTCATCTCATTCCCTTTTTGCTGAATCAGATTGATTACTGGATTGTTGTGAGAATGGAACATAGCTGCCTGATTTGGCTGAATGCCCACGGAAGATTGTTGCTTTCCATATCCCTCAGATTCGGTATGCAATGGTACCTGCATCGCAGTTTGCGGGGTCAAGGTAGAAAAATGGTGAGGAAGTGGTTGTCCGTTTCCAAAAAACTGCGCCAGAGAAGCTGAGATGTTGCTGATATGATTGAGCTCTTCTGGGGTGGCATTGTTATGAGTTGCAGAATTTGCATTGTTGAACATTCCCTTCGATGACTCCAAGTCACCGGAAACGGGTTTTTCCACCGAGAGATTCTCTTGATACCCTTTTCCGTTTTCAGGATTGCTCGAGTTTAAGCCTCCGGGAAGGTTGATAGCACTCGTTATCACTTGACTTCCCCCAACAGCTAGGGAGTTCTGATTACGCAATGCACTATGATTGAAATTGTCTTGATCGGATGTTTGGATGGGAGCAACATTGACAGTGTTCTTGTAATTGTTGACAGGTTTGTCACCGTAGGAAAACGCAGAACTGCTCCTGTGATTTCCATCTTGCTGAAAATAAGAGTTTCCAGCTTTCACATTCTGAGGTAATATTGCAGAACTATGGCTCCACAAACCATCTTTTACTTCACTATGTTCGTCCTTCGAGGGCTTATTAAAAGTTTTAACTCCGTAATCCCAATCCGGAGACATCTCCATGTCATTGATCCAGCTTTCATTAACTTTAGGTTGGGATATACTTGTATTGGCACGAGCAGTTCCAACATCACCAGACTTTCCAGCATCCGCTTTTTCAAAACCATTCCATCTAGGACCATTCTGAAACTTCTCCGCGCCACTATGATTGTTATCCTGTCCAAATAAATTTTCTTTAGGCTTTCTATCCGGACTTCCCCTAGCAGCACCATGATGAGAAAACCTACAGTTCTTTCCATTGCGACAGTGTCCAGCAGCAAAAAATTTGCAGGGAATATTGGAAAATTCGCGCTCATTTCTGTGTCTTCTCAGGACCGGATCAGATGTACCTTCATGTAAGTGCCTTTTCTCTCTTCTTAAATCATCCTCTGGATAATCAGTACTATAATCCGACCTTCCACCTCTAATGGCCTGTTCTCTGGAATCATCAGTATAATATTTCGAATCTCTTGCTTTCTTATTTCGAGCTTCCCAACCAGGGTCGGCGTTTTGATCAGACTGAAAATCACCACCTCTCTTGTATCTACCATCAAAGTCCCTACTTGCCTGTGGTGAAACTCGTGCTCGGCTCTTCTGTTTGTCATAGGGTCCTGCTTCTCGCTTTACTCTGTGGACTGGGCTTCGGCTACGACTCCGGCTTCGGCTTCTGCTATCACTACATAAGAATTTGTCTAAACTGATAAATTTCCTAGCCATGCCAGTGTGTATAAATGCTACATAAGAAACGAGAATGAGATTAGAAGTTTCTCTAGCACATGAGTTGTTCTACTAAGTACCAATTCACACTTACTTGTGTCGGTCCCTCACTGGAGACTGGCGGTCATAGTATCCAATCATGCCATCACCACTATGCGAAACTCTGCTTCGTGGCCACGCTTCTCCAGAGTGCTGTCTATTCTCATGCTTAGCTTTCAGATGCTCACCATCATCTAACCTCTTACTGTCATTTCTGCCATTACCCTCTGTGTAGGACAGGCCAGGTTCAGACTCTTTGTCACGGAAATAGGAACCTGATTTCCCGGGATAATCATCACCTCTAGCATTGCTGTTAAGATGTTCCGGTTCTTCCTTGAAGTCCCATCTTGAACTGCGTTTTCTATTTGATCCACTCATTTCACCCGAACTGCAAGTCTAGTACCAAATAAGAAGGGACAATCTGCATCCAGAATTTCGTTAGAAAAAGAAACAGAATAGCTTTTCCACAGTAGATTGTGTGTTTTCATCACCAGTGAACATGTCAAAACGATGAACACAAGTAAAAAAATGCCACGTGTCAGGAAAGCTATGCAAAAGAAGCCAGACATATGCTGAAACGAGAACATAGTAGAAATGCAATGCCATCCTCAAATATTATTCTCATTTGTTAACATGGTAAACAATACACTGAAACTACAAGCAACACAAAGCAAAATTTATCACAAATGAGCAATCTTGAAATGCACTTATCTGAACCACAACCACCAAAACCCAAGTACAGGCCCTATGTGATGTTTTCTGGTCAAACCAAAACAGGGTGTTTTGCCTATTATTACTACTAGCGCTCCTTTTGAAACAGTATGAAAACAATGCGGGAAACAATGTAACCAGTGAAAGACTAAACATGAAAAGGTCACCCTTAACAACAATGATAGGCAAACAACTTTGCTGACAATCTAATCATGATACAATCACCAAATGTAAGCCCGCTGTGTGTACATCGTTATTGGAACAAGAAGAAAGCAAATACCAAGAGGCAAATATGTGATATTCTCTTAAGCAGAAGTAGAGATAAGCACATTGCAAGGAAAAACACTCGAAATGACAAGGCTCAACATTCAACACTAGATTACCCTATCCATTAACAAAATTCTCTAACTTTATGGAGAATCAGCTGACCCTAATTCGAGCAAATTGAGAATCACAGGAACAAAAATCTTAATTTCTAAATCTATAAGAATGGTCCCTGGTACAAATCGAAAGTTTCAAGTTTTCACCCAGAATCGAGCTACGGCGTGAAATTCAAACCAGTAACAGTTCAAATCTCTCGTTTCATGATCAAGAAATCCTAAATCTCAGCTCGAAACCTAAAACCAAAATCGAATTCTCTAGTTCAATGTGCCAACGGGAACACGGATTCAACCAATTTCTCAGACAAAATAAGCCCTAGAAACCGAGACGCAACGGCATCAAACGTAGGAAGAACAACAACAAGAGAGAAGCAGCACTTACGAGAATTCAGAAAGAACACGCCATCACCCAAAGAAGAGAGAAAGAAAACCCTAGAACCGTGCTTCCTCCATCATTAACAAACCGCCGAAGTGAAATCTAACGAAAGCTTCGAAGCATCTAGGGTTTCCGAAGGAGCACCAAGCTCGAACGAGGAGGAAGAACAAGAAGAAGAAAAAGAAGACGAGACGACGACAACTTCGTCTGCTCGTGTTCTTGGCGTTAAAAGACTTGGGAGTTCTAGGTCTCCAAATCCACCCAAAAAAAATCGCAGTATGCGTTCTCCGTTAGTTTTTTGCTTTCGGTTTGGTATTATTCGATTCAGCTTATTTCGATTTTTTTTTTTTTTTTTTTGATAAAAACCTTATTTCGATTTTGAAAAAAACTATGCCAATTCTTAAACTAAACTCGATTCGATTTAGTTATATTTCGTTTACATTGGACTTAATTTCGGTTTTTATTAGTAAAAATATTGATTTTAAAAAATATTTAATTTTTAATTATTTTTATTCAATTCGATTTGGTTTGAATTTGATATATTCCATTTTAAAAAGTGACCATTGCGAATTCATGAATTATAATTATGTATTATTTAATATTATATCAGTTTATTTATTATATCGTTAACCGATGCATCTTGGTATTGAATCTTGTTAAGATTGTTCCTATTTTCCTTTCCATATTTTGATCGTCGATTTTCCGGATTTTGATCTCAGCCGTTGATTCATGGGGTATGTATGTGCACTGAATCTTGTAAGATTGTTCCTACTTTCCTTTCCATATTTGTAACAATGCATCTTGTTAGAAAGATGACTATTTTTATTTTTCACCTGTTTAAACCAAATAATCTTAGTATTTTTATATATCCATAAACCCGAAACAGGAAAATTTTGAAAATTTATGTATTGGTAAAATTTATCAGCTCTTCAATCATACAATCATAACTATTATTAATTACTGATATGGTAACAATTAGCAATCATAACCAAAATCAATTTATCACACCATTATCATATCTGTGTCGATGAAACGTTTTATATATACAAAATCCGAAAATTTAGACAGATCGAAGCTTGAGATATGTTCCTCGATCATCAAAATTCTTATTTCGAATGGAAAAAAATAACTAAAAACAAAAATTTAATAAGATGTACATATTTCATTGAGATTTTCTATAATAATAACTTCCTGTGAAGGAGAAAAAAAACCCACAAACATACACATATACGGAATCCGACCTCTATCTCATTGTCTTACGAGTAATGAATCTCGGATAACCATGAAACAAGGTATCCAGAAACCCGGAGGTCTCAGGTAAAAATACTCAGCCCTAGTCATAACGTGTGGCCGGGAAGAGCCGTAGTGGTGATGGCAGGAGGAGTCGGAGCAAAGGATTCGTCGTCGGTCCAATTGGATTCGCCCCAATGACGCAACATGTCTCTCCAATTGCATAATTTGTCGATACAGATATTGAATCTTGGATCTTTTATTCTGATTCTCCAATGCCCGTCCGAGTAATTCCCCATCCCTGCTTGTTGGCGGTCGTACTCTAACTGGGCTTTTTGCTTGGACCTCAAGTAACAGAACTGGTGTAGAACCTTTTTTTTTTTTTTGTCGTGTAATGACATGATGGTTAGTGTCTTCTAAATCAAGGTTACTTTCATATAAAATGATGAATTATAAAATTATGATTATTTAGAATTTTTATCGGGTTGAAGCAATTTAGTTTTGGTTTTGTTTATTATGTTCTGTATTATTGGGTAGTACAAAAAATATCCTTAAATGAAAAATCAAAAGATATTTAGTTTTGTTAGGTTTCGTTTTCTTGGATAATATTATCCAGTTTCTAAATAAATTTTCATTCTAAAATACTTCTTATATATTTAATTGAAATTTTGTTTGGTTTCAGGAAATCCAATTTGAAGAAATGCTGTTGAATTGAACCAAAATCGATCCCGGTTTTGGGTCAAATAGGTTGAATTTGTTCTTTTCCCTACCAAATTCAAATTGTTTAAAATTTCAAAACTTTGTGCTCGACCTTTTGAAAATATGTAAAGTTTTAGATTCCTAATTTTGGTTTTCGTAATTATTTGTTGCTTATAACTTTTTTAAAATTAGTGGAGGGCACCATAGTAAATTCTAATAAACGCAAACGCATAGGCGAAAAGCTGGCTACTGGCTAGCGGTTCCCGAGGTGATTGCATCCACAGACGCAGACCCCACTCGCGTTTGAGCCAAAACACGTGTGGAACAGCAGACGCAAACGCCGCCCGCGTTTGAGCAAAAAACACGTTTAGAACCCAAAAGAAAAAGAGAGACGTACCTGAGGCATCGCGTCGTGAACTCTCCACCAGCGTTGATGAGCAACATCGCTGGCGAACTCAAGAAATATATCAGCGTTGAAGTTGCAGTCATAGTCTCTGTAACAAAGCCATGGCTTCATACCCAGGTAGTGCAGAACATACAGAACCGGCGGCTCATGTCCGAACAGCCTCGTTTTCTTGCGCTTCACGTCATCATCATCCCCTACCCAGAAATGCTTCAAGAAATTCATATGCTTCGGAATCCGATGCCACCAAGTGAAAATCTCATTTAGATACCCTTGATCTCCTCCGTTATATGATTCTATCTCATTTATACGATCCATCAAAAGCCGAAACGTGCAGTTGCAGGGCTCGATCACCATCACGCCCGAGTTGAATAGGGTTCCATTGTTTCCCGTGGCCGAGATTTCGGGCATCGAGAACAAGAGATCGATGTTTCTCATTATCAGTAGATCGGCATCGATGAATATGATCTTGTCGTAATCCGTCAGCTGCCATAGCCGGAACTTGCTGTAGTTCCACTCGTTGTACGCGTCTTTCTCGGCTTTAGGGTTTCGGATTCTTTGTATCGTACGGATCTTCCATCCCGCGGCTTCTAGGCCGCTTCGGTGGTAAGGGCTTATGTTTTCATCGACAAGGATTACAAGGTCTCTGGTCGAACCCGACTGTCTTATGCTCTCCGCAGCTGCGATGGCACCGCATACATAGACGTGAGCCGAGTGGAGGATAGTCGCATACGCTTCCCTTCTCGGGTTTTCCGAGCTTCGTCTCTCTGTTTTATTCATCAGAATTCAGATTTACAGGTTAGATCACAATGACAAGATTTCTGTTAAACAAATAATTTAAGATCAGTTCAAATGAAAAATTCACAATTTTCAAGTTTATTAGTATGCATTTAAGTTCTAACAAATTATTATTCGATTACTAACAGATATTTAAAATTTAAGGGGGGAAGACGAAAAGCAATAATTAAAATTGCAATGAAAACGACAAATGAAATTAAAGAAAACCGGAAAAACGCAGAAGAAGAGCTGCAGAGAGTTTAGCAGAAACTATGCAGGAGAAATATTTAATTTCTTGTGAAAACGCAATCGAACTAACATTTTTTCTAGGTGATATTGTCAGTTAATGTTTTTACAAAATTAAACTAGGAAATGTGAACTGCAATAAAGTTTATACATATATATATATATATATATATATATATATATATGTTTCAAATATATTTCGAGCAGAAATAACAGAAACATATACCTGTAACGCCGAGTGGAAGAGCGAGCTCACAAGATCCAACAGGAAGCTGAAGCTTTTCCCTCAAGACATCAAGATTCGGTCTGTACATCCAAACATCACCTCTCCGAGCCACGAGATCCTTACAATGAAACAGATTTGGGATTGGAAAACACCTCGTCACGAACATTACGTGTCCCCGGAAAAACCCTTTTTCCGACGCAGCGACGGTCGCTGCAGCCAGTTGCAGATGCAATCTCCCGACATCTCTCGACCAGTTTCCTTCGTTCCGACATGGAAGTTTTACAATTATCAGATCGAGTTTTCTTCTGGGTACTTGAATCTTTGGAAGATCGGGACAAACGGGTATTTCTGTTTCTTGTTCCTCGTCGATCCATTCTGGATACAGGGAGTCCCATGTCACATTCTTGTCTGCGTAATCAAGATGCAATGCGACGATGTTTTCCTCTTCTTCTTGGTTTTTGTTGTTGTTGCTGTTCTTCTTGGCTGTTACCAGCCGTTTCCATCGTTGGATCTCGTTCTTGTTGAAGTTCAGGACGCCGATCGTACGGCTGGTATTCGTTCCCGTTTGGTGGTCGTTGTCGTCGTCGATAGTCTTAATGATTTTGGTCACATCTTCCCAGTTTATGTCCAAGTCTGAGACATACCGTGGATCTTGTCTTCCCCATATCCATCTGTTTCACAAAATAACCATACAATATAATGATAATTATATATACACAACAATGTGTTTATATATTTTTACAAAAAAAAATGTGTTTATATATACACCCCAACTATTCATCCCATATGTCAACTTTAAATATTTTACTTGACAAATCAATGCCAGCTTATTTCCTTAGGAAGTAACAAAATTGGAAGTTGGAAGGGGGAGAATTGTCGTGTTACCGAATTTCCAGTGTCATATTACCCAAGTTAAATATTGATTGTCGTACATAGGGGTGACTTATTCGAGTTTTAGTTCAGTTTCGATTATTTCGATTTTAGAAAAACTATAACCATTTGATTTTATATTGAATCCGGTTCGATTCAATTTGGTTATATTCAGTTCGAATTCGCTTCGGATATGACAAAAATACTCATTAATTCTTAAACTAATTTACAGTTTTTCTTGTTATTTTTTCTTCGGTTCATCTTTCGGATCCGGTTTTCATCGAATTTGATCAGTTATAATCATGTGTTATTCAGTTCGGTTATTAACTAAATAAGTCATCCCTAACCCTAATCACATATATACTTTTTTTTGTTTATAATAATTGGTACAATGAGATTGAATCTGAGTTGATTGGAAGCACTTTGTGCTACCCAACCACCAGGCCACCCACTTGGGTGCTAATCATATATATATATATATATATATATGTATTTATGTGTACGTACATGAATGTATGTGCAAATATGTATTTTGTTTTATAATTTTGTTCATAATATGAGCATTTTTAATTTTGTTGTCAAACCGCTACAAAATATGATCAAAAGGGAAGGAAAAATTACGATTCTACCGATCAATTTTCAATCATTAATAAAATCCACAGAATCGTTGTATTTATTTGCCTTTAATTAATTGCCATACAAACCGTAAGGGTCTAGGAGGGTAAAAAGAATCTGTTCTTTAATGTGGGGTTTTAAGGGTTCAATCTTTCAACATCTTTTATACGTAAAAACTCGATCTTTATCGTGTCTTTCAATGAGTTAGAGATGGCTACACATTCAAATCAAGAATTAAAATTGTTTGAGAGAGAGAGAGAGAGAGAGGTCACCGTGAAGAAGAGCGAGCGAGAGGATGGTGAGGGGAATAGAGGATGGTGAAGAGAGTGGCAGAGACAAGCATAAGCAACACAATCTTCACAATCTGAAACTTGCAACACCCATAACTCTTTTCTTGTGTCTGAAAATATAAACGTTTCTCCACATCTCTCCCGTTGTTGTTCCTCCTAAACCTCCTCTTGCATATCGCTTCTCTGCTTCACAAAAAAATAACAAAAATATAATTCTCGAAATTTCTTATATCAAACAGTAATAATGATATAAGGGTATCTAAGCGTTAACCTAGCGTTGTACGTAATTCTATAAATAAATTTGCATTTATACCGTATCAATACACAGTAATATTCCAATGAAACAATCCCATAAAATTAAGGAAGATATATAAAACTTACATGGAAGCTGAAAGGCGGCGGCGGGAATCTCCGGCGGTGGCGGCATTGGCCATGAGGTAGAGAGAGAGAGAGAGAGAGAGAGAGAGAGAGGAAATGATGAGATGTTAACATAGGAGGATGAAGATGAGATTTAGAAGAGCAAATATAGGTGAGACTTAACGTCTCTTTTAATTTTCCCATCAACTTATATATCTTCCATTTTGCCAATTTTTATTTGTGTTATTTTTTTTCTCTTGAGAAGAAAGGTGTAATATTTTTATTCTTCGAGCTATCATTGTTATGGATATTGTCATATTTTAATTTAACTTTGTTCTCTGAAATTGAAACTTTCCTTAGATTGATATGTGTCCACCAAACTTTGGATCATTCCTTCGGAAAGATAACTATTATTAAAAAGTTGAATAAATCCACACAAATATGTTTAAAAACAGTTTGAAATATCATATAATTAAAATCTAAAATATTTAAATGGGTTTCAAAAGCCGATCAACTATATGTTCAACAACTTAATTGCGCACATAGAATATCTTATTTTTTAAAATAATTTACATATATCTAAATCTGGATATTTCAACTTTTTTATATAAAGTTATTCAATTTTTCTTCTAATTTTGAAAAAAAAAACATTTTTTTATGTTAAACTTCGGTTTAATTTGAATTTTATTCGGTTTGTTCGATTTTTATTTAGAAAAATATTTATAAAAAAATTCATTTCATTTGTATTTTTTCATTTTTTTTTGTTTATTCTGGTATTATTATATAATATTTGATAAGGTTTGATTCATTTTTATATATCTGAAAGAAAAATATGTCTATAGTTATACATATTATTTTGACAGATTGTCTCAAGTTTTCATGAAATCTTGAATCAATATATAGCTTTTTTCAACCTTATACGTTCACATATAAGTACTTTTTAAATAAGAAAAAATGATTATATTTTAAATATCTTCTAATTTTTCATCATAAAAAACTAGTATGTATTTTTGTAATAAATTTGGTAATGGGCATTTGTATTATAACGAACCATTTAAATACAATTATGCTATGATAATGTACCATATAAATGTAAAGCTTGGAACTAAAGTAATGGAAAAGAGACATTCAAAGAATGCAAAGTTCAAATGCCCTTTTCAAAGACCTATTCCCACCAAACTTTTTTTTAGCGTGTTTTAATTTGGAGATGTTAATATTAATCCAATCATCTAATCCCAGATCTCTACCTTAACTAACCAAGATTAATGTGTAAACAACCACCCAAAAGCTTGCTTTCATTTTTAATAATCTAATAATAAAATTAGATTTTGACACTTGACTTCATCTGTCTGTCGGTTTATAAATACCTTTGTACGTCACACATGTATGCATATATGGCTACGACGGTGGATGTGGGGCACCTGCTAGTCTTGGTGAAAATTATTTAAATTGTTATTTTTCTAAAAAGATTATTTATTTCGATCGATGATGATGATTTTGATTGGTTTCTCTAATAAAAATAAGTACTTATTCATCTTAAAATATTGGTATGCAATGCTAAATAAAATCTATAGATTCGCCTAAATGCATGTTTATATGTATGCATGCATGCATGAGTTAGTTTTTACATTCATTTCGTTTTTGTAAGTTCAAAATGAATCCATGTAAAATATTTTTGTAGAGACAATTCGCCCGTCACATCTAATATTAGTTCTTATGATAAACCCTAAAATTGCACAAAAGTACTAACACTGAGCGTATAGATACTTCTATATATTTCATTATGGCTTACTAAATCCTAAACTCTTATAAATTTCTACACGTTAATTACTTTCACTTATTTGCATGAATTATACAGAATTCGGAACTAATCGAACGGAATATATAAAATTTAGTCGTCTTATTTTTATGTGTAAATCTAAACAATATTATAATTTACATTCATGATCTTTCTTTCCTTTTTTTTAGATTCAATTGGTAGATACTAGACGTCCAATCAAAAATTCGATGATGTCTAATATGTTATAATATTAATCTTGTTCGACCATATATTTCCTCTCATGCCGAGAGATTGATATATAATTGCTATCCTTCGGTAATATTTTCAGCCGAAATCGATAACTTATTACAAGTATAGAATTTAGTTGTATATTTATTATTAAACGTGGGAGAAACTAATGACAAACATTGTATAGATTAAGTTCTTAGTTTCCATAATATCTTGGAAATTTATGTATTAGGTGTATAGTACCATATATACATAAATATTATTTATTCTTTTAAAATGTAATTTTTATTTGTGTAGATTCTCTCGCTTTTAACAAAAATTATAAATATTACATAATAAATTTTGATTTGGTATTAGTTGATATGGTATCCCTCGTTCCTTTTTTTTTTGGGCCCTAACGTTCCTTTTAATTGGATATCAAATTCAATCAGATACATGCGTTCGTCTAGGAGGAACCTTGTCGGAAAGCTAAAGTTTTTTTACTTGGGTCCAAAGCAAAAACCAAATTTAGGAATTTACAAAGGAGATTTAGCAAAATATTATTCTAATTTTAGGAAGGAATATATTTTTAGATTAAAAAGAAACAATGCCCAAAAATGGTATTTAATTATGTGATTTAATTAACTTCTAAGCTTTCAAATTCAACAACATGCACAGACAGAGAGAGGGACACGTGGCACTTGGACAGACTTCGGAAGTAGCTGTGTTTGCACCAAAGAGAAAGGTGGGAACTCTGAATGTCTTTTGATAAGAGCCTTGCACCCATCGCTACGTATGATGAAAAAAAGGAAAACACATCTACATGAACACGATCGTGTGTGTATATATATATGTATATATAAAGAATATGCAGGCACCTGTATATGCGTACATACCGTATGTAAGGAGACGTAGATGTGACATGAGACATTGCATTGGAAGCAAAGCAAAGAAAAAGGTATTTTCGTATATTGTACACGTTTCCTTCCATGGTCATGTCTGCTTACCTACACCTCTCACCAATGTAACCTTCACCTCTCAATTTGTTATATTTTCTCTATATAGACTAAGAAGGAGCGGAGATTTCATTCATTTTTAGTTCATTTTTTCTAGTTTTATAAAAATTACACCTTTTTTTAAAATAATCTTATAACGTGTTTCACTTTTCATTAGATTACAAATTTACTTTCTAATTTCATCCAGTTGTTTCATACTCCGATTTTAAAGAAATTATATCTGATTTAAATTTTTAGTTCAAACTTACTTCACGTACAGTTATATCTGATTAATTTTTATAAAAATAACCAATTTTGATTCGTTTCAAATTTTATTCGGTTAAATTCGAATTCTGTTTTCATTAAATTACAAATTTATTTCTAAAAAGAATTTCGTTCAACTATTTCATATTTAGATTTGAAAGAAATCGCATCTGTTTGACTTTTTACTTGAAACTTATTTCACGTGAAGTTATATATCATTCGACTATACCTCCGACAAAATAGTAGAAATAATTTGGATTATAAAATGAATTATTAACTACTGCACCTTGATTTCTAAAAAGTTTGTACTCAAGTAAATAACACACTGTGCGGCTACAAAGCAATAAAAAGTTACGTAAACAAAAGTATATATGATATGATGTTGTACGATTAGGGCAATTTCTTATAATATAGGTTAATAATATCCATAAATTTTTTGTAGAAAAATGGTAGTCTTGATAATTAACTTTTAAAGTTTTTATTATGCTTTTTTCATGTACCTTTCATGTAAATAAAATGAAATTTTAAAAGAAAATTGAATATTGCCTATAATTATAGGTCAGTAAATCGTTTGGGGGTATTTTAGATACATAATTTAGTTTAGGGGTCGTTTCAAAAAATATTGAAATTAAAGGGGCCTGAAAACTCGGTATATAGTGGGCTAAGCCCAAACTTAACAAGGCCACGGGTTCAGCCACAAACAAAAACAAATTAATTAACATAAAACACAGATTATTTAATAAAATTAATTAAGAGCGAGGCTTATCAAAAACACCGCGTCCGTACGTGGAACAGAAGATCTCGACAAGCACCGGGAACTGAAGAACGACGAAAATTCCGACAGAAATAACGGCCAAGAATATGAATGGAGCAGAAACCCACGACAAGACATTGTCGCCGACGAGAATCGTCATCGTAAGAGTCACGACGAACGTCACCATCATCGACGCCATAGACAGGAACAACGAAGCCAGACCCACGATCAGTTTTGTCGGAAGCGATCTGAGGAAATCCTCTTCCCGGTAACGAGATTTGAGGATTCCGAGGAACATGAGGAGAGAGACACAGGAAGTGAAGAGAGAGATTGCGTCAGAGACGATATAGACCATGAAGGATTTCCGGCGGATGTAGATCGGAGTTCCGCCCTCGGAGTAGCCGCCGGGGACTGTGAACGCGGCGGAGAACATCATCGTAGCGATTAGGGCAGCAACTACGGAGCATGAAGATGCTGTCTCTTTCATCCATTTCTCTCCTTGTTCCACCAGCTCCTTGTGCTGGTCTGTGAATAGAGCTCGTGGTGTCTTCTTTTGTATTGAGTTCAGCATCTTCCTGTGCTTCGGTTGCACTAGACTTTCCACTTCCTTTGAATCAGTCACAAAAACCGAAAGCCAAGAATCAAAACCCAGAAACCGAAACTGCGAAAGAGTAGAAAGGAAAGCCGAAAATTGCAGAAAATCCAGTTTCAGCCAATGCGGAAGAAACATTTTGCTGAGTTTCTTGAGGTACAAGAAACAATTCAAAATTGTGCGTTTTGATGAAAACAATGTCTACGAGAGAGATGAGAAAGGGAAGACAAAATTCGTGTCGGAATCATTTGAGTTTGTGGTATTTGTTGGATTTTCAGAAAATTAATTGCTGATGTGGAAATAGTAGTGGTTGCTGTTGTTAATGGGTAGTTTTTTTTAAGAGTTTACGTCAGTTTTTTAACTTTTAAGTTTGTAACTGTTTTATTTTGTATTTAATGACTTTATGTTGTAATGAACATATGTATGCAAGGTTTTATTTACGAGAGAAACTTTGTGTCATCGTTTTGGTTGTTGTTCAAAGTACATCTCAAGTGATTTGATTTCTAAAACTTGAGTTTGTAAAAGGAGCAACAGATTTAAGTGTGTGTAAAATAATAGTGGTATCAGAGGGGTTTTGATCTTTCGGAATCTGTGAGTGTTTTTTTTTTTGAAAAAGTGAAAACGAAATGGATCAAAATGTTGGTGTTGGTGTAACTCTCCCCGTTCCGGTGTTTGATGGTGAGAATTACCAAGTCTGGGTTGTGAAGATGAAAGCGTTTTTGAAGGATTCAGATCTGTGGGAAGCCGTAGAAGAGGACTATGAAGTTACTCCACCGGTGTTTGATGGTGAGAATTACCAAGTCTGGGTTGTGAAGATGAAAGCGTTTTTGAAGGATTCAGATCTGTGGGAAGCCGTAGAAGAGGACTATGAAGTTACTCCATTGGGTGCTAATCCTACAGCGAATCAAATAAAGTTGTACAAGGAGAGAATGGCGAGTAAAGCAAAGGCCATGTCTTGCATCTTCTCGGCAGTGTCACCGTCGATCTTCACGAAGATCATGGGGTTGGAGTCTGCCAAAGAGATGTGGGATTTCTTGAAGAAGGAGTATGAAGGGGACGAAAAAATCAACGGAATGAAAGTCATGAATTTGTTGCGAGAGTTCGAGCGACAACAAATGAAGGGAAGCGAGTCAGTAAAAGATTATGTCGATCGTCTTGTCGATATAATCAACAAGGTAAGAATTCTTGGCACTAAAGTTGAAGATGTTAAGATTGTGCAAAAAATTTTGGTTTCTATACCGGAAAAGTTTGAAGCAACGGTTGCATCTTTGGAAAACACTAAAGATATGTCAAAAATCAAGCTCTCAGAAGTTCTTAATGCCCTTCAAGCACAAGAACAAAGGAGGCTTATGCAAAAGGAAGATCAGTGGAAGGTGCTTTAATAGCAAAAGAAAGAATAAATTCTGCAGAAAATGGAAAATTTAGTGAGCAATTCATTGAATCGTGCAAACATTGTGGTAAGAAAGGTCATCCATATTGGAGATGTTGGAAAAGACCCGATGTTAAATGCAGGAAATGCGGTAAAATGGGACATGTTGAGAAGATTTGCAAAGAAAAGAATACAAAGAATGTTGAAGTTGAAGCGAATAGGGTTGAAGAAAATGAAATGGACCAACTTTTCTGATCAAATTTGTGTAGAACTTTGAACCAAGGAGGAGTTTGTTAGTATTTTGGTTCAAAAGTTTGTGGTATTTGTTGGATTTTCAGAAAATTAATTTTTTATGTGGAAATAGTAGTGGTTGCTGTTGTTAATGGGTAGTTTTTTTTAGAAGTTTATGTCAGTTTTTTAACTTTTAAGTTTGTAACTGTTTTATTTTGTATTTAATGACTTTATGTTGTAATGAACATATGTATGCAGGGTTTTATTTACGAGAGAAACTTTGTGTCATCGTTTTGGTTGTTGTTCAAAGTACATCTCAAGTGATTTGATTTCTAAAACTTGAGTTTGTAAAAGGAGCAACAGATTTAAGATTTAAGTGTGTGTAAAATAATAATTTGCCTCAAACCAAAATCGAAACTCAGAAAACAAAGCAAAACAAGAGTTGTAGACGTTGCAGAAACAGTTTGCTTGGGTTAAAAGAGATAGTTCTATGTTCCTGTCCACTAGTAGTGTGTAAGAAGATCCTTTGTATCGGTGGTGGATTACTTAACTTGTGAATCGGATTTGAACATTGCAAAAATAAAAAAATAAAAAAATCATCTCCAAATGGAGAATCCAAACTCATAAATCGAAACCAAACTCAAAAAGAGAAAGCAATACGGAAACCGCAGAAAATCGAGTTGCAAAAGTTGCAGAAACGTTTCAAATAGTATCTTGGGTTAAAAAAGATTTGTATGGTTTTGTCCAAAGAATAACATGTGGGAAGCTTAACTGTATATATGTCAGTCTGACCTTGAACCATTGCAACTCCCTCTGCATCTGAAGAGCTGCACCTGGAATAGGATTAAGCCTAGAAGATGGAGCTTTGAACGCAGCTTGATGCAACATATTATTATTGTTCCTGTCCCAAGCGGTGGCTAAGATGTTCTTCTTCCCTCCCATCTTGTAAATCAGACTAAATATCTTCTCTTGTCTCTGCCGAACTGCACATAGGAATACGTTGAGTTTGAACTTGTCTCTGAACCATACGATATCCGGCCAATGCTTCATTAGCTCTTCGACATATTCAACGATCCCGTTCTCCACGGCTTTGAACAATGCCTGGTTCAGACACGCGTTCTCGTGTTGCCTCGAGTCTAGGATTGCTATTTCTCGACAGATTTTCTCTAATATGTCTTTTGCTTGGATATGTCCCAGCTTCAGTTTGTATATTTGGTTTATATGTGGAACTGCCAGTAAGTTTCATCCCGCATTGATCATAGTTAGGGAAGAGTTGATATAAAACGAAAATCACCAAGAAAAATGTAACTTCAAGATCAAATTATAATTTAGGGTTTCTGCTCGAAGACACTGCTTACAGAGAAACTTGAGGGAGTTCAACACCTTGTCTCGGAACGTATGATCTCCTGCATATATATAATGGACCGTATAATCATCAATTTGTCGGAAAATACAACATTAGAATCATTACGGTCCGTATATATGTACCTCTGGTTCTAGTACGTTTATGGTAATTTGGAACTTCATGAGGCTTATGTATGTGAATACCTTCAGAGCATCAACGACACAACACGTTAAATCTTCTTCAGCAACAAGTTACAATATGGTAGATTCAAAGATATATATATGTGATCGATATATACGCACAGGAATATATCCACCATTGCCAAGCTCTAAGATTAGTACTGCTCGGAAAAGCAGAAGGCGTTTGAGCGAGAGCAAGGATCGCTGTATCGTTATCAAAATCTCTAATATATACAAGTTTCGGGTACCGTTGTATCAGATCCAACGCTATATCTTGATACCACACAGAGAAAGAAAACAACATTAGCGAAACATATGACCAAATTAGAGCAGAAACATGAGATAACACTCCCTTTTATGTTTTCTTGTCTTAGAATATTTTGTGATAAAAAAAATATGATTTGATTGAGTTTCTGTTTCATATTTACCGTACAATCCATCGACTATGCAGTTGGTAACGAGCATGGCACCATTCTTGCCCTTGTTTTCATCTGATTCATCAGATGGATCGAGATCACGCAGAGGAGTAACAGAGTATAGATACCGAACTAAATCTCTGTGTCCGTACAAGGAAGCTACAACGACAGGAATATGCCCTTTCTTGTTCCCAATGCTGACCAAATCAGAACACTTAGTCACCAAACACTCTGCAATTCTCACAATACCTCCGGTCGCAGCATAAGTGAGAGGAGTCATCTCGCTATCGTTCTTCGTCTCTAAGAAGTTTGGATCGTGAATTTGTCGAACAATCTCTTCCACGATCTTGATGTGACCCGACAACACGGCTTTATGAAGAGGCGTGTCGCCGTTTGACATTGTCTTGGAAGTTAAAGCCTCGTGGTTTTTGTTGAGAAACTCTTTCATGGCGTCAAAGTCTCCTCTGTCTATGCTCTTGAAAAGGGAGATATATGTGATGTTCTCTTGTCTTGTCTCATCTGTTCATAGCGAACATGATAATATACATTTTTATGTTTCACATACAAATATAGAGTTTTGAGACCCGCACGTTTTCAGGTATCCGGTCTCGCAGGTTTTCGGGATGCGGATAATTGATAACCAACGAAAACTGGTAACAGGTGCGACGTGGATAATAACTCGGACTGTACGTATCCGCGATAGATTACCCGTGGGTACCATGTAGGCGTACATCTATGATCATATTTCTACTATAATATATTTACAATAATACCTAGATTAATTTATGTAAAATTATTAATATATCCCTAAAATCAAGAAAAACGAAATTTCTAATATTTACGTGGATTCGGGTAACTAGACCGCGGATATCCGGGTCTAGCAAAACCTATACTAAGACATTATCTCTTGAAAATCCTCAAGGATTAAGTCGAGATCGGATACTAAAAAATCCGTATATCCGACCTGCGCCCGTTTTTAATGTATGGTTTTTGAATGGTAATGAAAACTGTATTCTTATAGGTGCATACCATATTAAGACTTTCGGAGAGCACTTAAAAAACATTCATGATTTCTAATTTGATAAACTTTAGAACGGTTTTCCATTTTATAAATATCTGTTGGTCAAAAAGTCTCTGATATTTTTATCGCAAGGTAACAAAGTGGTAATGATGTTGTTGATGGCTAAATGTGAGATGCCTAATTTTAGGAAATTAGGTTACTTTATTAAATTGGGTAATTTACTGTAAAAAAGAGGTATATGTTGGCGGAAAAAAAGAACAACTTGCGAAATTTTTTTCATTTTTGGCCAATTTCACCAAATTTTCTCGATATTTTTTTTTCTTGATCTGACAGAATCTCGATTTGTTGCCGTATTATATGTGAGTAACGCACTATAAACGTAACGTGTCGATTGGAGTTGGCTCACTGTCATCTTCAAGAATTGGAGTACATGCAAGTAAAACAATAACAATTGAACGTTACCTTGATCCATGTATTGTAGTTGTTCTCCTTCATCCATATAGGCATTATCCGCTTCTTGTTGTAAACTATCAGTTCTTAAACTTTGACGGAAACGTTTCTCCACGTCCATTTTCGTTGCTTCTTCCGCAACAAACGTAACGTCGTAATCGAGGTTTGTAAAACAGAACTTAGTGTCGGTGTCGGTGTCTCTGTCCTAAATTGGGTAATTATAGATATTTTGGAGGGAAGCAAAAGGATATTAAAGTGACGGTGTTTGAATTTAAGCTTTTGAAGCGTGGATTGTGGTTTAAGGAAATTTAAGCTTTTGAAGCGTGGGTTGTGGTTTAAGGACAAAACAAGAAGAATCCCAATATTAGAATACCAGTTAATCTTGACCGTTGATTAGAAAAGGAATCTCCATATTTGTCTTTATTTTTTTTTACACTGATGTGTATATATATTCGTTTTCTTTTCTCTTTTGCCTTTTCTTTAATAAAAATATGCTCAAGTGTTCTTTTTTTTTTGCTTTTTCTTTAATAAAAATATGCTCAAGTGTTCATTCTTTCGGATTGCATCTATTGAAGACGTCATCGCAAAGCAAGGGATTTCGTGTAAAGGTTATCAAATTAATAAATCTTATTCTAACAAAAGAAAATATATGATCTATCATATTCGTATATACTAGTATTGTAACATGAAATCTTAGCCAAATCTGTATGATGGAATTGATTGGTGCTGGTAATAAGTAGAATTCTCCGTTATACTATCCGAGCTAAGGGATGTAAACGAGAGTGACTCGACCCAGATCATCTAGGTCGCAAACTCGTTCGATTAGCGATTTCAACACGACTTATGAGTTCCAAACAAACATTCAAAACAATATATCTTGAGATAAGAAGATAATTTGATATGTTTTCTAATATAAACATATAATAAATATTAAAACCAAGATTACATATAACATTTGACGTCATGAAAAAAAACATTAAAAGAAAAAGAAGAATCTAGAGAAGTTGAAAACGTTAAATACCATACATTATTTTTGTTCCATTTCCGACGCGCAGATTCGCTCCACCTCTCACCAACGTTCTACTTCTTCGCAGTTCCTATACATTTTTATAAATGTGTGAGGTACATGCGGTATCCAATATCTATGATAAAGAAGATAAACACTTCTGTAACGTTGCTACTTGAAGTCAGTAAACTTCTTCTTCTTCTTCTTCTTCTAATCCTTCAAGTAAAAAATGCAGTTTCTACGCCAGTGTTCAACCTCGTGGTAGTAATGACACTCTCCCTTGTCCGATTTGGACTTCGACAACATGGTAACATTTGTCTTCTTTGTCGATTTCTTACCCCCTTCTTTTCCTCATGCTCGCTTTTTGGAACACTTTCTAGATTGCACGACAAGGATGCTCTTATCAATCTTAATCTTTTGTTCAGCCGACACTAGCATCCCATTGATCGTGATAATCTAGGTGAATGGATGGTCAAGTGATAAAAACTTAGACTAAACCGATTCCGCAAGGGTACGGATTCGATGTAGTATCAGGGTCGAACACAGGGATCGAGAGGTGATGGAGTCGATTTCGATTCTAGCTATAGCGAATGTAATACCCCGATTCTCTAATGAATTAGTTAAATAATTTTTGGGAATAAATAAAGATAAAACAAGCCTAAAAACATAGAGAATTAATGTGAATGCTTGAGTTGGGTCTATGTGAGCTCGTTTTCATCATGTGATGGTGTTAACATGATGAATATGATGCATGATTAGGAAGAGGAAGTTTCTATCAATATTTAGAAACAAACGGGACTTAATTCGGATAAGAAATGAGTGAAAACGAGACAATCAAAGCTAGTCCTAACGAACCAGAAATGTAGTCCGAACGGACTACAGAAGTCAGTCCCCGGATTACAGAATCAGTCCGAACGGACTACGTATCAGACCGGACGGACTGAGGAGGTGGGGTCGAACCAACTGTCAGTAAGCACTATTTGGACGCGAATAATGCACGACACACGGGTCCAATCGCCGTTTTCACGCACTAGGACGACAAGGGGCATTCCTAATTGCCCCTAGACTCCTTAGATTGTCTCCTAGATCATTCCACAACCCTTAAAGACTCTCCCAATCTGCTCCAAGAGTCATTCCTGGGCTCTGAAGTTGCAGAAAAAGAAAAGAGAAGAAAAGAGAGAGGGAGAGAAAGAAGAAGAGAGGAGAGAAGATGAGCTCGGGAAAGTGTTGGGAAACATTCCTAGAGTGTCCAAAGAAGAGATCTCAAGGCGGAGGAACAAAGAAACATCACTCAATCTTGGCCAAATCAGACTCAAACCGAATCTGATCCAAGAACAAGTGAGTGGCTCGAGTTGGCTTGTTGTGGTCTTGTTTTCATCATTCGATTGTATTTAAATCTGTAGTTTGATGCATGAAATTGAAAGAGGAAATTTCAAAGAACGTGTAGAAATAAACGACATCAAATTTGGTTAAGAAAAGAGTGAGAACGGAGTGATTGAAAACTGACCAGAATCACAGAATCGTGACTGGACAAGACCAGAAGCCCAGTCCGGACGGACTGACATCCAGTCCGGATGGTCCAAACACATGGGACAATTTTCGACACTTCCGGTCAACTCGGGAAGTCTGTTCTTGGACCAACTTGTTTGAACAGTCCAGACTTACAGACCGAACGGACCAGACCCCAACACGCACAAACGGTCCATAGACACGGACCGAACGGACCAGACACAGTACACACATACTCGAATGGGAACCAGAGGCCAAACCAGAAGGGCCGAAAGGGTCGGACTGAATGGTCTGAGCTGAGAAAAATGGTGGAAATGGAATAAGGGTGGTTGTGAAGTAGAAAGAAGAATTTGGAATGCGTGAAATAAATGAATATTTATTAAAACCTGTAGCCAGGATGTGGTGAGATGTGAGAAATAAACTGAGAGGGATTTGTATGTATACCAGTACCGGTTGACGAGTGAGTCAGTACTGTGCAAATGTTTGGTGCCTGTATCGGTTGACGAGTGAGTCAGTACTGTGCAAGTGTTGGTGCCAGTACCGGTTGACGAGTGAGTTTGTACTGTGCAAGTGTTTGCTTCCAGTACCGGTTGACGAGTGAGTCAGTACTGTGCAAATGTTTGATGCCAGTACCTGATAACACGTATTTCGGGTGATGTTTTGATATAGGATGTCTAACGTATTTCACTCGATTTTATATATTTGTAGACATTGTAGGGCACATTTGGCTTCGATATTGGTTGGTTGTGTTCTTTGGTGTTTAAACAGGAATCCACACATTAAGAGAGAAAAAGGAGTGGAAAACATGGAATACGGAACATCACGGACGAACCAGAAACATTTGGAGTGTCTCCAAGGAAAACGTGAAGCTCAGAAAACGTCAGATCTTGCAAGTCCAATAACTTTCACTCTACAAGTCCAAATCATACATTCTCTACATCATTGGAAAGCTCTCTTTGATATCTACTGATCATATCATCTTTACTTGAGAATTTTATGAGTGATTGGGATCTTTATCATCAGAATCATGTGCATATGAGTCGTCTAGGGGTAGAGTAGGTCCTTGTTTTGTCCATTTCAGGACCAGGTGGTGCAGTGAAGTCTCCGGGAGAAAACAACGAAAAAAATCAGACGAAAACGCGGAATGTGGAACAAGAGCAGAAACAGGCTACCGCCCTAGAAAGAGATCTGGCCGCCCTAAAGTGATAGAAGCCTCGAGATTTAACAGAAAATTCAGGAGGGCCGCCCATAAGTTCTGCCGACCGCCCGAAAATGTGAAGCATATTCGGGCTCCCGCCCTGAAACACAAAGAGACTGCCCATTTCTGTCTGACGAAATTCATTTGTTGTTTTGGGTCATTTCCAAGCCCATTAGTGAGAAAGAAGAAAGCCCTAGGGTTTGCTGAACAAAAGAGGAAAGAGGGAAAGAAAAAAGGGATCTTTTGGCCATTTGAGGAGGGAGAAAAAACACTTGGGGGAAAACTTGGAGCTTGGGAGACTTGGAGAAGAAGAGAAGTGATCATCACCATTGAAGACCAATCTAAGCATTCCTTTCTCTTCTCTATCATGTTCTCTTTTGTTTCTTCTTGTTTTCTTCCTTTGAGTATGGAGTAGAACCCTAGTTGTGGGGGAGGGGTCCCCCTTTTGTGTATGGATGTTGGGTTTTCAATCTATGGTACTCTTTTAGTTGTTTCTATTGGTTTGATGTCTTATCCTTCATGCTTTTGATCTTGGCAAAACCTTGATTGAATGATCTTAGAACAACATTGATCATAGACATATGGGAATGGTGTTTTGACCTAGACATCAAATGAACAACATTCGTGTCCAATCGTTTTCATCACACAAGTTTCGTTTGCTCATTTGACCCTCATTTCATATTTACATTTTCACAAACACCTTGTAATCAATATTTTCCATCACCTTTGATCTAGTTTAAGAATGTATTAACACAACCTAGTCCTCGTGATCGACCCCGGTAGTACAACTACCGTATACTTGCGGATAGTGGTACGAATT